AAATGCCTCCAGAGCTGCAATAGTGTTGGCTTACTATCTTCTTCTGAGTGACCTTCCCAGAAAGCAGAGGTTAGAGTCTGGGAGGTAATTGCTGAGGCCATTAATCCCCAGTGACAGGTTTTTGAGTAGCAGCCAGACCATAGGATGGTATTCAACAGTCGGTGTCTGCATGCTCTCACTGGGAGGTACTAATGAATCCTGCCACTAAAGGGCTAACGCATTTCCTACCGGCGCTCCTGGGTCTACTTTGTTAGTCTCCAAAGGGAGGTCTACCAGGGCATTGCAGCGCTGCACATGGCTGAGACTCGTGCTGGGGGACAACACAGGGCCTATGGCTGGGCTCTGCTTTGGAGACCAGTTATTAATTGAAATAATCTGCAGTGTTTCCTCATGGAAGTAGTATTCTTCTGTTCAAGTAATAGAGATTTACGGGCTTGTTACTCAAGGTGAAGGGGTGATTAGAGAGGTTCCTCACTGATAGCTGCGGGGCTATGCTTTTGTGGCCATAGGTAGTTCAGCGTGACACAAGCAAAGAAGAGCGCGTGTGGTGGCCAAGTGACAGGACCGTAGCACTTACAGCATACCAGGTGAACACTTTTGCTCTCGGTGGTGGCTTCTTACCCTCTCTCTCTACCTATCACAAGTTAGTCTGGCTTTGTCTCAGTCACTTTGGTTTGTACAGAGGTGCTCTATCATACCAGCTTGGGCAACGAGGGGTGTTTTTGGAAGATCCATCTGGAGCCTCTGTCTTCCCAGACAGCATCTCCTAAAAATTTCAAAATTTATTTCTATTCTTGAAACTCTCTTATGATTTTTGTTTTTATGATCTGTGCCTTTCTCTCCAACTTAGCAGTTATTAATAAGACAGTTATCCGCCATAAAATATTCAGAGCTTTATTCTCTATACTAAAAATGTCTCCTTTCACTTAAAGCTCTTTTTTTTGCTGGCTTAATTCCATTAACTTTATCAAAGTTTACTTTTGAGTCTGGCTTACTTATTTCTCCTGCTTTCCCTGTCTTTTGAAGTGTTTGTTTCGTAAATGCACTTTAACCCCTAGAGAGAGGTTTGGGGTTAGAGATATAATCCTTTCCTGAATGACCCTATTTTATCATGGGATTGGAAGCGTAGTCCACTGACTAAAGAGACTCAGACAACATGGGTTGTATTCAAGGTTTCATGTGAATCAAGCTCCACACAGTCTAGAGCCAGTCATTTACTTTGTTTTGCTTTGGCTTCACCAAATGTAAAATATGGTTGTGGCTGAAAATCAGTATACAAGAGTTAAGTGTTATTATTGGCCAGCAGTATATCAATCTGTAATCTACAGTTTCCTATGAAGGAGGAGGAGGAGGAGGAAGGTCTTTACTTTGGGTTCATTCCCTTTTGTGAATTCAAGTCAGACTATCAACATCAATTTGACTTTGCTTTCACAGTTTATGCTTAAAGCCATCCCCTAGCAAACATCTTGCTTTCCAGATACCTTAAGCCTACTGCAAACAAACAAATAATGGAAATTAAATAGTAATAAAGCTGTTGTTAGCTTTGTATAATAAATTTTATCTACTATTTAAATGGCAATTATTTCCAGAAACTTGGCAATTGTAGCCATACAAATGATTAAATTGATTCCAGTCACAGCCTATCTTTCTTTGGAAAGGAAATACCAGTAGTGTTTGAAAAATGGATTATTAAGAATCTTGGTTCGCTCAAGGTGGCTCATATGTTGTATTTGCTAACACAGCATCTTGCTGGAAGAAAGTAAGTGCAGCTTTTCCCTAGCCCAGATTATTTTCTCCACAAATCTTTGGAGCAGGAAATAAAAAACAGCTAATAGTTGTGGGGCATGTGGAATTAGTTTAAGCAAAGCCGAACCCTGATCCTTCTGACCGCCTCCTCTTTCCTGTGCTGTTTTGTCTATTCCTGCCTCAGAGTATGTCAACAAATTTTCTTTAAGCTCAGAAGGTGGAGGGGGGTGGAAATAGTGATTCTTTCTGTCTCTTTCTGTCTTTTGGGGTTTTTTTGGGGGGGTTAGGGGAATGATTTAAAACAGATGTGTTTTCAAGAAAAGGTACAAGTTTGTCTTGTAAAATATTTGTAAAGAAAAACAGCCTCAGGACCTCTGAACGTAATCCCAGTTGAGTTCTGGAGATGTCACAAAGGGTGCTGGTTTTGTTACAGTGACATAATTCTTTTCTCACACAACTTAATTATAAATCAAGATAACTTTACAGAGAGGGCAGAATCTGTTAAACAAAACTGAAGAGGCAAAGTGTATACGTATTTGAAAAGCAGAAAAATACCTGTGATTTCTGTATGGCTTATTGTTTGCTTCTGCTGTATGAGAAAACATTATTTTCATGTTTCTCCAGTACTGGAAGTATGTGTTTTACATGAAAGAATAGAGCAGGTACCTCTTTCCTGATGACAAATGAAACACACTGGATCAAATGGATCAAACAAAATGGATCAATGATCACTGGATCAAACACAAATGGTGCACACTGCTGCACCTCCTCTGAAGCTGTGTACCTGAGGACAATAATGCTCTCATTGCCAAGGCTTCAAGAATGTAATAAATACTAAGGAAATAACTTCACAAATGACTCGGTGTTGCTGTGCAGCACTGGATGTAGTTGGTATCAGTGGTTGTGGTTATGGTCATCCTCAAAAAACAAAAATTTTTCTTCATGATAGAAATAATTATTAAACTTGACTGAGAACATAAGCTCTTTCACATTGCCTGAGAAACTGGTGGGTTTGCTGTCTCTCAAGTGTTTGGTTTTTTAAATTACACTCAATCACTGGAAGCAGTTTTGCCATCTCTGTCTGTCTGTCTGTCTCTCTCATGATTGTTTATTTTTAGACGATCTGTGTTCTGTAGCTAAATACTTTCAACACCTTCACAAGAAATCTTGACAACATAGTTGCAGAACCAGTATCGCTGAAGTAACTTCAGATGATTAAATGTTAAATTATGTTTTCCTCATCCAATCTGGTTTATTAAGACAGCAAAAATGACAACAAAATAAGTGAATCAATATCCTGTCTGCTAATTAAGCATCAGGAGAAGAAAAGAAAAATTAAATGCAACATTCGCTAATTTCTTAGGTGCTGGACTTTGGAGTCAGTTACAGACACTGTTGTATTGTGAGGTTTGTGATGGCAAAATCTTGAACAACTTTTTTTATCAAATATTTTGCTAATCTTGAAATATTTTTCTTTCCATTTCTTATTTTGAGAAAACACTAACCAAATTCAAACTAGATAGGGTAATATGGCATCAATCCATTGAAAATGTTGAACACAAACTTTTGACTTTTACGTGTAGTCTGGGCAAAAATGAAGAGAAATTGTCATTTTTTTCCATGGGGATGCTTCATGTTAATTCCATCTAACACAGCATTTTTTTGAGAGTGCTGTTGGCTCTGCGTGGATTTGATGCTGCAGCCTGTCTGGTTTTAGAGGTAGAAAGCTATCGGGGGGAAAAAAGAACAGATCATCAGAGTGCGAGGAGGCCCAGTTGAGGAATGGTCCATGGAGTGCATTGGTGTACCCAAGCAGCACCTTGTTGGGTTCTTCTAGGAGGCAAAGTCTGCTTGAGCCGGCAGAGAGAAGGACAACATTCGCTGATGGCAAATCTATCAAAGACCCCAGAAAACGTCTCAACGAGGGTGGTTCCTGCTTTTGAGGGACAAATGGTCACTCTGTTTTTGAAAAAAACGCCACATTTTTAGGGGCACAAAGGCTCTCGATAAATTTAACAAAAATGAAATTATGGTTAGACTTTTACGTTACCATATATTGATGGCTTTGTGAATAAAGGTCCAACAGTGTATAGAAACCTGAGTAAGTAAGGAAGTAATTAAATTACTTCCTACAATGACACTCCGCTGCATCTTTCATTTCGTCCATGGCTGGCATTTTATATGCATTTGGAGCCATGGGCTGCACTAATCATATTGTAAAGGCAGTCGGAGTTACAGCTTCCATATATTTCATGCGTAGCAGCACTTGAATATTAGCGAGGAAAAATGAGAGAGCGAGCGAGTGCATGCTCACCAGTCAAGCAGAAAGGTAGAAGATGGGGGGCACGGGTACGTCTGAACTTAAACACAGTGCATGCTCACCAGTCAAGCAGAAAGGTAGAAGATGGGGGGCACGGGTACGTCTGACAACTTAAACACGTATTTAGTGGCTCGCCTGCCACTGAATGATGTGCACAGGTTTGCCTGGGGTGGAGTAAAAGAAGCACGGAGGATGTGTTGAAGGACTGGAAGAGTGGCTGTGTGTAATAGATACATAAAACTATGTATAAAATAGTGGCGTGTGATACAAAATGCTGAATATGAGTGTATCTATCTTTCCCAGTCTAAAATGCCTCTGATTGTCCCAGTTAAGCAGAAGAGCAGCACATCTTCATATCATGTCCAGATGACTTTGCTGGGCCTTTTCTGTTTCATTCTTGTGGTCTGGGCCAACGTGGTCTGAAGGAGCAGGGAAGGCGAAAATCCCATGTGGAGCCTCGCGAGCCGGAGGGGATCGTGTCTGTAGGAGTGAGGTGTTTCTGGTTTCTCACTCAGTGCCTCCCACAAGGAATCTTTATCTTCCTGGTGCTTACATCAGCGCAAGAACCAGCATTTCGACAAACTGCCCTTAGTCCACCTTTTGACTCTTATCACTTAAGAGAGCACACAACATAGGAGGTTGGCACTTTCAGCATGTTTATAAACCAGAGACCTGGCTTACTGAAATATGTATTTAGAAACCAATGCAATGACAAACAAAATTGTGTGGTGCTCAGCTTATATACTAAAACATATTTGTTGTCAATATGCACTGCTTAAAGGACAAGAAAACACTTTCTGATGGCCGGGTTTTACCAATTACTTTTAGGTGAATCTGTAACAGATGCGCTTTTGAAACTTGACTGATGGGACACTTGGTCCTTGTCCTACAGTCAGAAATTCTTTTATTCAACTACTCCTATTCTTTTCTTTAGGACAGTGAAAAAAAAGGATTTATGAATAGACTTTATGCCATCCAGGAGGTGTGTGTCAGTGTCCAGAATATCCTTGATGAAGTGGCTTCCTTTGGAGAAAGGATCAAGAAGTAAGTGCTGACACAGGTGCTGGATTGCTCTCTGATACTGTTTGTATTTTTTCCAAGCTGGGGTACAAAGTTTTAGACCTTTTTTCTTTTCTTTTTTTTTTTTTTTTGTGGGGGACTCCAGTTTGGATGATC